AAGAAAACTACAGGCCAATATCCTTGATGAACATAGATACAAAGATTCTCAACAATATACTAGCAAACTGAATCCAACGGCATATTAGAAGGATTATACGCCATGACAAATGGGATTTACCCATGGAATGCAAGGATGGTTCAACAAATGAAAATCAATTAATGTGATACACCACATTAACCAAATAAAGGATTTTTTAAAATAGTCATCTCAATAGATGCAGAAAAAGCATTTGACAAAATTCAACACTCTTTCAGGATAAAAACTTTCAACAAACTAGGAATAGAAGGAAATTACCTCAACATAATAAAGGCCATATATGAAAAGTCCACAGCCAACATCATCCTCAACAGTGAAAAACTGAAAGCATTTCCTCTAAGATCAGAAACAAAGCAAGGATGCTCACTTTCACCACTTCTATTTAACATAGCACAGGAAGTCCTAACCAGAGCAATTACAAAAAAAAAAAAAAAAAAAAAAAAAGAGAGAGAGAGAAAGAAAAGGCATCCAAATTGGAAAGGAAGAAATAAAATTGTCCCTGTTTGCAGACAACATAACCTTATATACTGAAAACTCTAAAGACTCCACCAAAAAACTGTTAAAACTAACAAACAAATTTGGTAAAATTGCAGAACACAAACTCAACATGCAAAAGTCAGTCGCATTTCTATACATTAACAACAAACTATCTGAAAAGGAAATTAGAAAAACGATCCCATTTATAGTAGCACCAAAAAGAATAAAATACTTAGGAATAAACTTAATTAAGGAGGTGAAAGACTTGTACACCGAAAACTACAAAACACTGATTAAAGAAATTAAGACACAACAACAAATGGAAAGAGATCCCATGTTCGTGGATTGGAAGACTTGATATTTTTTAAATGTCCACACTACCCAAATCTACAGATTTAATGCAATCCTATCAAAATGCCAATGACATTTTTTACAGAAATAGAAAAAGAAAAAAACTCTAAAATTCGTATAGAATCACAAAAGACCATAAACAGCCAAATCAATCTTGAGAAAGAAGAACAAAGCTGGAGGCCTCACACTCCCTGATTTCAAAACATATTATAAAGCTTCAGTAATCAAAACAGTATGGTACTGGCATAAAGACAAACATACAGGCGAATGGAACAGAATAGAGAGCCCAGAAAGAAACCCATGCACATATGGCCAACTGATCTTAAACAAGGTGCCAAAAATACACAATGGGGAAAGGATATAAATGGTGTTGGGAAAACTGGATATCCACATGCAAAAGAATGAAATTGGACTCTCATCTTACATCATACACAAAAATCAACTCAAAATGGATTAGACTTAAACATAAGACGTAAAACTCCTAGCAGAGGGCCGGCCCCGTGGCTTAGTGGTTAAGTGCGTGCGCTCTGCTGCTGGCGGCCCGGGTTCGGATCCCGGCTGCGCACCGACACACCGCTTCTCTGGTCATGCTGAGGCCGCGTCCCACATACAGCAACTAGAAGGATGTGCAGCTATGACATACAACTATCTACTGGGCTTTGGGGGGAAAAAATAAATAAATAAAATCTTTAAAAAAAAAAAAAAAAAAAAAAAAAACTCCTAGCAGAACACATAGGGGTCGAAAACTTAGGTCCCCACAAAAACCTGCACACGGACGTTTATAGCAGCTTAATTCACAATTGCCAATTCATAATTGCCAAAACTTGGAAGCAACCAAGATGCCCTTAAGTAGGTGAATGGGTAAACTGTGGTACATCCAGACAATGGAATATTACTCAGCACTAAAAAAGAAATGTGCTGTCAAGCCATGAAAAGACATGGAGGAAAGAAATGCATATCACTAAGTGGATGAAGCCAGTCTGAAAAGGCTACACACTGTATGATTCCGACTATTAATAATTCTGGAAAAGGTAAAACTATGGAGACAATAAAAAGATCAGTGGTTGCCAGTATGCAAGGGAGGAAGGGGTAAGTAGGGGGAGCATAGAGGATTTAGGGTTGTGAAAATACTCTGTATGATACTACATTGATGGATACGTATCATTATACATCTGCCCAAACCCACAGAACGTACACCATCAAGAGTGAACCCCAATGTCAACCGTGGACTTTGGGTGATGACGATGTGCTGTGTAGGTTCATTGATTATAACAATTGCACCACTCTGGTGGGGATGTGGACAGTGAGGGAGGCTATGCGTGTGGGAGGGCGGGATGCAGGGGTCATATGGGAACTCTCTGCACCTTCCACTCAACTTTGCCGTGAACCTAAAACTGCTCTTGAAAAATAAAGTCTTCAAAAAAAGAAAAAGAAAAAAGGAACAATAAAAAGCATTTGGAAATTAGAACTATCATAGCTTGAATAAAACGTCCTGTAGAAGATCTAGAAGACAAAGTTAAGGACATTTTCCAGAAAAGAAAGAGTAGACACTAAGAGAGAACATGAGAGGGTGGGTCTAGGCAGTGCAACGTTCAATTCATAAGAGTGAGACAAATACGAGAATGGAGGATGAAATTCCCAAAGCACATTTGCCAGAACCAAAAGCACGTGTCTCAGATGGAAAGGGTCCACCACGCGTTAGCACAAGGCACCAAGGCAGATCATTGTTACTTTTGAGGAACAAAGCACTAAAAAGAAGATACTAAAGGCTTCCTGAGATTTAAAAACAAAGTGGGTTAGGTCACGTAAAATAGGAACCAGAGGGACTGGGATGCTCTCAGTGGCTGCGCCGGGAGACGGAAGATGATGGATGGGGTCTTCAACACGCAGAATGAGAAGTATTGACCCAGAATCCATAGTTGGGCTAAACCATCAACCAAAGGTGAGGGGAGAATCAAGGCATTTTCAGACAGGCTAACAACTTGAAAAACACACCCCTTCTCAAGGACCTACTAGGGAATGTGCTGCACCAGTTGAAGCATCCGGAAGACATGGACGCCAGGAAGCAGGAGACTGACCACGGGGTCTCAGGAAGGCTGCTGCGCAGCGCGCCTCGGGAGGCTGAGGATCCTGGAGCGGGAGCAGAGGGCAGGGGGCACCCAGGCGGGACTACCCCATAACCAGCTGGGGCGGAGGCAGACTCAGTGACGGGTACATAGGGCACACATGCGGAATCCTACCTCTGGGAAAAGCGAAAACTGTTCATCACAGGGCCCTGCTTGGTTCAGAAGTAAAATACTTAGTCATCGTAACATAAACTACATACTGAGCAAACGTGGGATGTGACTACACTGGGCGAGTGGGGAAGGGAAGGGAGAGCAGGCAGTGAGTCCAGAGATAACAGGAACTCCAGGAAACCACGGGTTCTCTGGACTGAAGACGCCTTGTGCGTGGAACCTTCTTCCATCATTTCCTCGACCTCTCTGTCAGGCCTGGCAGCCTAGCCACCTTTCCCTTACAGACCAGAAGCCACTCAGCTTTTGGCTCAGGGAACCGGCCACAGATCTGCGCTACCACGTTGTCTCCCCTTGTGTCCTCAGGCTGCCTTGGCCTCAGACACCAGTGGGATGAGGAGCAATATGGTTCTGAATCTGACCCTCAGTGTTGCAGGTGGCTCACCCTTCCATTAGAGCACAGGATGCTACTTGCGGATCAGTGTGGATTTTATGGCTGTTCCCATGCTTTTTCCAGGCTGTCAGGATATTTTTCTCTGCTTCAGAGCTGGACTGAATTCACATATAAGATTTAGCCACCTTCCTATATGGGCAATATTTTCATTTTCCATTTTAACACAAACGTCACACTCCATACAATGAGCCTACATAACATGCTAGTAGGAGGAATACAAATACCACCACAGCAAAACTCTGCAAAGCCACACACACAAGCCTGAGAGTGGCTGCCCGCCTGAGGTCCGGGCTCAGGGACTTGGTTCTGCATGTCTGAAACGTCCCCCAGAACCTCATGGAACAGTGTGTGTGACAACCCCGCACACGTGCACCGCCGCTTGTCCGTGCAGCTGCCCATCTTCCCACACGGCAGTGAGAGGGCGAGGTCATCCTCTTCACGCATCTTTGGGTCCCTCAGGCACAGACATCAGACAAATCTATTGAATGAAGCTGTAGGTCCCTGAGATTCTGGATCAAAGAGAGAGATTTTTAAAAATTGTTTTATTTCAAAGTGCACTAAAAAAATTACAGGAATGTTTAGGATAAAGCTAAGGAAGATGATGTGCGTCAACTTAAAGTATTAAATGTGGACAAGGCAAAATCTGTGAGAGTGATACTTGAATGCCCAAGTCGCTTGTCACGGGCTCTCAAGCGTCTTGAGGCTCTGGAAACAGTACCAGAGGGACTGCGACAGTTGGGGTGCGGGTGTCAGTAAGATGAGGAGAAGCCAACCATGAAAACACACTGACAAGACATTAAGAACCGTGCCACTTCATAAACTGTTTGAGAACCGTCAATTGGTGACTTTATTTCATATAAAAGTTACACTGAGAGAAGAGGTTGAAGAGTCAAGTATACTTGATTTGCACATACTGCCAAGTCTCACAGGGTTCAACCACTTCAGTAATTTTTTATTGATAAACAGGATATACATATGGAAAGCCTCACACTGAAGCCCAATACACTGTCCAACCCAGACAAGAGAGGTGCAAATAACGGGCAAACAGTCCCTGCAAGCTCTTCGTCCCCGGGATCCCCCGGCTCGACTGGTGCTGTGTCTCTCTGACTGTGACATCCCCTCACAGTGTGCACGTCTGCAGTGACTCAGTCCATTTCACAAACACCCTACAGCTTGTTCTCTGGGCTAGGACTGCGTCTCGAGCAGCTCCCTTGTGGTTGTGCATCAGCAGTGGTAGAAGCCCTGATTAGGATAGGGTTCGGATTAATTAAAAACAAAAACAAAGGTTCACAGACGAATGGAAAGGCGTACAGAGCAGGAGGGAGACGCCACTCTTCTCAGCTCGGGAGGCAGGCTCACAGGAGACCCCCAGACTCCGTCACAGACTGCTTCTCCATGCGTCCCGCAAAGCACGTGCCCACCAGGCAAGTTTAAGGCGAGTCCCCAAGGAGGGGAGCTGTGGGCTTTCTGGAGTAATGTTAAGCTTCGCACCAAAGGTCCTACCGTATCACTTGTAACATGGGTAGAGAAACAAACATAAATGATACAAAAGAAAAAACCCTCCAACAAGCTACTGTCATCCTGAATATTCTCTGCAAGTGAGGCACACGGAGTTGGGGGCTCGGGTCCTGTGGTCCCCTCACCTTCTCAGTGAGGCACAAAGGCCGACACCCGTCTCTGTGCTTCCCTGTTGACACGCCTGCCCTCCTCCTCATGCCCACCAAGCCTCACAGGGGACCAGGCCACCCCGAGACTCCACTCGCCTCCCCTGAGGTGCCGTCTACACACTCCTAATTTGGCTGGAACGAAGAAAGCCAGTGCCAAGGCCCTCATGCACTCGAGATTTTGAAAATAAAATTAAAACAGGAGGGCAACAAAGGACCACACAGGAATGATTGTTCTTTGGATCAAGATATTCTCCAGTATGCACTACATTCATAGTAAACCCCATGGGAGGAGGACCCCGAGGCAGCTCTCCCCTCTTCCCTGAAATGTCGGCTTCTAAAAAATAGCTTGTTTGCTGCACACAGCCATTTAATGCTACATCGCCTAAACAACACTGCCAGTTTTGAAACACACATGCACACGCACACACACAGACACGCACGCACACAGACTTGCTGAAAGGGTCAGGACGCCTCTCGTGGGGCAGTGGGGGGTATACCGGAAGCCGCCTTCGCCGTTCAGTGCACAGATCACATTCAGTGCAAAGGGTCAGAGCTAATCGAGACCAGAAGGTACTCGTATGGCAACGCCCCTTCTTGATCAGGGGGGTGCACTAATGAATCACGGGGCCAAAAGGAGCCCCTGAAACCACGTGCGTTCTTGTTCACTGGATTGACTTTTTTCTTCATGATTGAGAAAAGCAGCTCGGTACAGAGGATTTTAGTAACCCACGTAATATCCCACACGACTTCTTAGAAAATGCAAAGTACCCTTAACAAAAGTCCTAACTGTGTGGGAAGAGAACGGCATTGGCTTCTGCATGTGGCCACACACCTTTCGTTAGTTGTCGAGGTGAGAACTGACTAGAACATCTTCCCGTTACTCGTTTGGAAAACCTGCCACCTGTGACTATAAACGTATAAAACTCTGCTTGCTGCAAGCAACTGGTTTGCGTGGGTTCCGTTTGCCCTACTGGTCACAGACGAGCTGTCGATACCCTTTCAGACCCCGATGAATAATTTAAAGTCAGTTAACGAGTTCCAGCATGAGGAGAGGCTTCACACAGAGAATTCCGGGCCTCCCTTTCTGGGTCTCATTTGCAGGTGCCGGAATCGGAAGCCGACGAAGGGATTCATCCAGAGGAGGGAGGGGGGTCCTCCAAAGACAGACTTCATCCCCTCCCATCGCAGCCTCCGCTCCCACGTCGGCTTCTCACTTTTCAGTCTCTCGATCTCCTGGAAGCAGAAAGAAAAGCAAGTGGGTGGCAGCGCCTGGGAAACCCCAACAGATACAGGTTAGCCGAGCGGTTCTAACAGGAAACACCACCAGACTTGAGAAGCCTGCTGCATTTGAGAACTCGGGGCTCAGGTGAAGTGAGGGCTCTCCTTCCTGGACCAGCCCCCACGGCCTCCCTGAGCATAGCCAGGCTGCAGCCGTCCAGCCAGACCAACGTCCAAGAAAGTGCACAGCCCAGGCAGCCAGGGTGGTGGCAAGAGGGCTGGTCCTCTGGGCGAGGGCACCAACCTTTTTTTCATCTATTACAAATATTTCTCGAGTGCCTACTCCAGACCTACAGTGCAAAGGCACGAAGGCGATCAGTTCCCTGCAGCTCACTCAGCTGCTCCGGGCGCCAGGTTTCCTAGAAACTGGGCATTTGCCTGGCTCTACTTGCCTGGCTCTGTTGACTCTCAAATCAAACTGATCCTTGAACTATGCACTGCACATAATGACAGGAATAACAAACACAGCGAGCCTGTCGGAGCTTATCGAGACCGCCAATTAATACACACGCACCTGGGGTTGACATTAGGATTTCTCATTCACTCAAGCTTGCACCAAATCCTAAGCAAACACAGGCGGGAAGGAAGCGTACCGTTTCATCATTGCATATTGAGTGGATTTGGGTGCCAAACATCACTGCAGTGAAAGTGAAAAACAGAAGACCCTCAAGGCACAGGAAGATCAACAGGATTACAGTTATTGGAGGTGAAAAGTCACTGCATTCTGTGAACAAGAGAGAGCTGGTTGTGACCGGACATCATAGCATAGCGCATACCCCGAACCACAGGGTGTCGGGTGTCTGGCTCACAAAGGAATCCTCCCGGTGCCACCACGGGCCAGCCCCCACGGAAGAAGGCACTCATTTGAAAAGAGGTGCATTCACTGTCCACCAAGGGGCAGAGGAGGCTGGCCCTTCAAAATTCATACCACTATTTCCTGGTCAGTTTCGAAAAATTCCGTATTACCTGAGGTTTCTAGAAGACTGTTTTGTGTATTAAACCACTTCTTAAAATGAAACTAAAGCCAGAAAAAGAAGAGTCCCGTGTGCCTACACTTGTGAGCAGTCCTCACGTGGGAGGTACCACGGGCTGTGACCCACCTGCCCCTTGGGTGGCCTGAGTCTGTCTGACCTGCCTCCCACCCAGGGCTGGACAGTCAACACCACCTTCACTACACTTGCTGGGGTTCCCTCCCATCCAGTAAGGCGAGGATTACTTTGAACAATGCCTAGCTAGCTAACCAGAACACAAACACAAGGTTTGGTGGGAACAATACCAATTTCCATCTAGTCTCAAAAATCTGCAAAACACAATTGAAACTATTTAGAAGAAAATATTGACTAAGGAAAAACAATTATCTGTGTGGCTTCATTATACTAGCAAAACAGCAGTGTTAAAACTTAACTATATTCTTTTCCAGAAAAAAATTCAATTAATTTCTAAAATAACTGGGAGGATTTCCGTCAAAACTGGAAAGTGAATTCTTCCTTTAAAGCTATTCCCTTTTCCCCCCCAAGGCACGCACTTCTAGGAGTGAGACACACAACTGGGCTTACCGGTCCACTGCCCTCGGACACAGGAAATGAACTGGAGTCCGCAGAGAACCAGCGCGTGGACTGAAGACAGCGCGATGTACATCTGGGACGGGGAGAGGCTGGTTAGCGACTGCCACGCAATTACGTATTTCTAGGAGCACAGGCTGCTCAATGCAATTTTACTCCCCCATTTCATCTGTCAGTAAGAGCCCAGGAGGGAAGGGGCCAGTCGCAGAAGTGGACATCTGCCTACACAAGATCCTACTGGACCATGTCAAACAATTTTACAGAAAAATCTACACCAGCGCAACAAGTTCTGACTCACTTCAGCAGATCCTATTAACACCTGTGATTCAAGGTATCTGAGAGAATCAAACCACAGCAAAACACCTAAAATAACACCAGCAGGGCCGGCCCCATGGCTCAGCGGTTAAGTGCGTGCGCTCCGCTACTGGCGGCCCGGGTTCGGATCCGGGCACGCACTGACGCACCGCTTCTCCGGCCATGCTGAGGCCGCGTCCCACATGCAGCAACTAGAAGGATGTGCAACTATGACATACAACTATCTACTGGGGCTTTGTGGAAAAAAAGGAGGAGGATTGGCAATAGATGTTAGCTCAGAGCCGGTCTTCCTCAGCGAAAAGAGGAGGATTAGCATGGATGTTAGCTCAGGGCTCATCTTCCTCACAAAAAATAAATAAATAAAAAATAACACCAGCAACATGTCTTTATTGGCCGGACTACTTCCTACCAATGACAGCACAGCATGTATTCTAATCTGAATTTCAGAGAAAAGGCTGGAGAAAACCTAGTCTGATGTTAGAATCAATTTACCTGCTCCAGGCAAGATTCTAGTTAAAGAACTGACAACTCAACATAAATCACTAGACAAATACTTTTTACTCACAGTGAAGAGCACAAAAAATCTCTGATTCTTTTCTCCTACACAATTGTTCACCCATGGGCAGTGATGATCCATTTTCCGAATACATCTTTTGCAAATACTGAAAAGGAGAAGTTTGATTTTCAGTATTCCACGCTCTGAGGACACAGAACCCCAGGCCATGCATCCAGTACACAGAATGCAACGCTGGGAAGGGGCTGACGAGGGGGCCCTCCTGCTCTAGGAGGGGCCGCGGTCCCGGCAGCGGTGAGCACCCGGGCTGCTCTGGCGAGGGGCCGCGGCCCCTGCAGTGCCGGGCAGGCCACAGCACCTGCAGTGGTGGGCGCGCTCCGGCTTGATGCAGCAGCACTTGGGGCACTTGTAGATCACCTCTCCTGGCTTCAGCTGCAAGCTCTCCATGTACTCTTTAGTCGCATTCCCTTTGGGTACCGCCCCCTGCAGTTTAATGAAAATATATTTTAGTTGAGGGGAAGGAAATTTTTTTAAAAAATCAATAAATGTAGGAATTAGTCTTAGATTTTATATGTCATAAAATAATGTGTAATGCTGTGGTTGCCACTTAAAGTATATTAATATGAAAAATAACTGTCTTAGGCAGGACCAGAAGTTTTATTTTCTATGAAAAATAAATATGCATTAAAATGAACTCAAAATAGGGCCGGCCCCGTGGCTTAGCGGTTAAGTGCACGCGCTCTGCTGCTGGCGGCCCGGGTTCGGATCCCGGGCACGCACCGACGCACCGCTTGTCCAGCCAGGCTGAGGCCGCGTCCCACATACAGCAACTAGAAGGATGTGCAGCTATGACATACAACTGTCTACTGGGGCTTTGGGGGGAAATAAATTAATTAATTAATTAAAAAAAATAAATAAGTAAAATATAAGGATAAAAAAAAAATGAACTCAAAATAAATACCTCATTATCCTTTGTAAATTGGTAAGTCCCCTGAGTTTCTTGTAACTTAACGCAGGACACACCAGAGGCGAGGTTGGTTTGTTAAGCCGTCCCAACAGCAGGGCAGCTGACCATCCCCAAAGGGGCCACCATGCTCCCTCCATCCCACTTCCCTCTTTCTAACAGGCAGGGTTGACCTGATAAGCACACCCCACGTGGTTTTCCTATCAGTTGCAGTAGAGAACACTGAACAAAACAATCTCAAGAGGGACTTGACCTCGTGTATTTCTATGTAATGCCTCTGTCTCTGCCAACCCAATCAGAAGCATCCCACACACACGTGGACAGTGTGGCCCCGAGCACCTGACCCACTGGGCGTCTGGCATGGGGCTGCTCCTCACGGGCCGTAACAGTGCATTTGTGTGTGTTGCTGGAGAAAGACGAGCTATGGAAGAGTTAGGGAAACGTGAGCTGATGGCAAGCGCAGGGCGCTGACAGCCAGGAGCAGTCCTTGGGGAACACGGATGCTGGAGGCCTGAGCGGGGCGGTGAGGCCTGGCGGGACCCAGCAGGGAAGGCCTTGTTCTTTGGGCAGTGGAGACAGACAGTGAAAAACACATCTGGAAGATTCTTCTGGGCATTGTGGCAGGGTGGACTAGGACAAGTGCCCTGGCTAGAGTGGAGGGGGTGTTCTAAACATCTCAGGGTCAGGAACAAGGTCTTAGATCCCGCTTCTTAGCCCCACAGAGCCTGTGCTTCATGAAGAAATGCACATTTCTGGAGAACGAGTTCCCCCTAAGCCCCTGGGGACAGCAGGCCAGGGGTGCAGTGATAATGAAGGCAAGAGGGATGGTAGGGTGGGAGCTAACAGTCCTGGGAGACTGCGGAGGTGGAGGGTAGGAGGACGGTAAGGGACTCTGCTGACCAGCAGGAGCAGTGCTGGGGCTCCTTAAGGCCCGGATGCTGAACACCAGAGCCACATCCAAGCCTCTGCAGGGTGAGGGCTGACACCCACATCTGGGAAGCTCAGCAAGCACGTGTGCCACAGTCTAGCCTGAGGACCACTGGCTCCAATGCCCCCAGTGAGCCAGACGTGGAGCCCTGTCACCAGCAGGAAGCGAGGCCTCCAGGAGGTGCCCCGGGGAAGCAGGGACGGGAGGGGCTGTGGGCAAGACGTGAATGTTCACCACCCAACCCTGCACTACAGCTGACTTCCCTTCAGACCAGAGTCAGTCACCATCGTCCTGACACGGGGAAGCTGTTCTGTCAAGACCCAGTGTTTCGGAGCACTCAAACTGTCTCCTCACAGGAGGTAAACAAGTTACGGGTTTAAATCAGAATGTAAGCCACAACATCTTCATTTACATATCACGAATTGGAGACTTTCAAGTTTCCTCCACCAATCCAGGAGTCTTAACGCTGTTAATGCTGTTATGATTTCATAAAATACCATAACGCTGTATATACGCTCCTGGTGACAGTCCAACGTTACACATTTCCACAGGAAGAGGAAATGGGTCAGATTTAAAAACTCCACACACCTTCATTTTTATGAGACACACACGTACTTTCCATAGTAAAAACAAATGTGACAGAACACACTTCTAGAAAGGAGAGCATCCAACACTACACATTTGTTAACGAGATCTCTTATGACTGTTTACTGAGGAAAGATTTGTATCTCGAAGGGGTAGCCGATGATTAGATGAGGTTGGTGACTGGAGACTGCACGCGGCAGTGAAGGCATTTCCCGGCTCCAGGCATTCCTTTCTGCTGCTCAGAACCCTGGGCAGGCAATGAAGCTCCTCCAGGCCACGGTCTCCTCAGGGCTGCAAGGCGGTTGACCCGAGGCCCTGCGCCCACGACCTACACTTGTTTCTGAGTCTTTCAAGGCTGCCTTTTGCAGACCAGGCACCAGACAGAAGGGCTGGCCTGTGCTCGGCTCAGCGTGCACCTTCCTGCTCAGCACTGAGGTCCTGCCAGGTCACCCCTGGAGGGTGGAGGAGACTGCGGGGAGGAGCGCCTGTTTCCTCGGCACCTCAGGGGTGGAGGGGTGGAGGGGTAGGGGGACTCTGCATTCTATCAAAATGAGCCTTCCAAATGGCTGGAGCACATTCCTCAAGCTCACGTTCACAGCTGAACCATTTTCAGGGCATGTTTTTGCTAAAACACGTCTTGCATGTTCATACCCCATCTCCCCAGGCCACAGCCATGCCTTCGGGCTGCTTCGTACCCCAAATGGCCCAGACTGCTCCCCTTTTGCACAAAGTCCTCCTAATGGCTTTTTGATTTCTGCCGCCTCTTCTAGCAGCCATCTCTCACCCCCTGCCCTTGGCCACCTCTGATCTGCCACGGAGAAGGACAACAGAGATCTATGCTTAGAAAAGTGCTCTCACCACGTCCTACGTCCAAGGAAGGTATGCCTTGCAAAGCATACTTTCTTTCTTTTTTTCCCATATCTTTCCATCTTGAACCCCCTACTCCCTGTCACACATTCTGGATCCCCTGGACCTAACAAAGGGGCAGCTAAGCAGGGGGCTTCCCCTTAGATCTACCTACTAGTTTATGGAAAACACAGGGTATGAGGAGCACGTTCAAATACGTACAGGGGTGTAAGCTGAAACTCCAGAGTGCAATGAAAGCTACAAGACAAAGGACCGTGTTTCTTCAATTTAAAAAATCCCAAGGGAAAAAGAGAGAGAGAGGGGACCACAGAGAGGAAAAAAATATGAGACACATCAGCCAATCACAAAGTATAGACCTTATTTGGATCCTGATTCGAACAAAAAATAACGTAGAAGAACTGAGACCACCAAGGAAATCTGCACTCTACCTGGAGCAACACAGGAATAATCCAACTGCTCACGTGAGCTACTGCTACCGTGGCTGTGCTGTCACAGAGAAGAGCCCTCACCTTTTAAAGACATGCACAAGTACTCACAAATAAAGTCTTGTGATGTCTGAGATTCCCTGCCCAATACTCGGGGAGGGGAGGGCAGGCGGGAGTGGGTGAGGGTATGGCTGACACAGCACCGACCGTGAGGGGACCACTGGGTCAGGACACTCTTTTCCCCCCACTTCTGTGTATGTCTGAAATGTCTATAAGAAGTTAACAAGACAGCAGGGGCTCTGGAGACAGATAAATCTTGTTCAAACCCCAGCTTTGTCCCTTACTAGCGGTGAGGTCTCACTTTCTGATGCGGATTTACCAGCCCCCTCTGTGGGGTGCTGGAGGGTTATGAAAGGATGCCTTTGGTGGGTGCCTGAACAGGACCAGCGGCTCCGCACAGGGCACCCTCGTCGGGCACAGACATGTCTGCTGAGAAGGCTGCTGTTCAGAAGGCAAGGCTGGGGTTTAGGACAGCAGGCTCCGGGCGAGGGTCTGTGGGCGCAGGGTGGTGAGCGGCCTTTCCCCAATCACTCAGCGTCCCTTCACAAGTTTAAGTTCTCAGTGTGCTTCCGAACATGAGATGGTGAGTGTCTCATCTTCCAACAGTGGCCCTTGTGCTTTATTATCAGATCTCTGATCCGTCAAGTGTCATGGACCCCATCTTCCTTCCTGCTCCTCACTCACAGTACCAACAACTTTTCTCAAGTAACAACACAAACCAAAGCCAATCCTAGCAAAGCCTGACCGGTCCTGTTGGTTTAGTAAAATGACATGAAGTCCCAGTGGGGTATCTGCCTGCCTTGGGGTGGCGTGATGGTTCTAGTTCAGTCCAGACTGGACCCTGGCACAGTAAGGTCGGGATCTGTAGAGAGAAGAAAGCAAACTCCCCGTTGAGAGGACAAAGACTGGATGTCTGACCCTGCTGGGCCACGCAGCCTCTCCCCCAGGAACATGGATCTGGAATCTAACAACTGCAATTCAACCTGGTCTGTGGTGCGACCCTTTTTCACTAGGAGGCAGGGAGAGCCAGGAAGCTGAGAAAGACAGAACGCCCAAGGGCAGAGAAAGCCTGAGGGCTCTGGCAGTCTCTCCCCTGCTCTACCTTTCCAACAGCTTCCCCAGCCCAATTCCACAGCCTGCAGCGGCCAGACGCATTCTTGCCCTTGGGTCCCGCAGACTCCCTCAGGTGCCCTGAGTCTTGTTTACACTGACCCTCTGCAGTTTCTATACTTGCCCAAGAGTCGTACTATGTGACATGGCTGAAACAGTGACATCCAAATGGACAAAGGACTTGAACGGACGTTTCCCCAAAGACACATGAATGGTGAGGATGTGGAGAAACTGGAACCCTCATACACTGCTGGTGGGAATGTAAAATGGTACAGCCACTGTGGAAAACAGTTTGGAAGTTCCCCAAAAAGTTAAATGTAGGGTTACCATACGACCCAGCAATTCCACTCCTAGGTATCTACCCAAGAGAAACGAAAACACAGGTCCACACAAACACGTGTACGCAAATGTCACAGCAGCATTATCCATAATAGCCAAAAAGTGGAAACAACCCAAATGTCCATCAACTGATGATGGCTATAAACAAAATGTGGTCTATCCATACAACAGAATATTATCCCGCCATGAAAAGAAATGAAATATGGATAGTGCTACAGCCTGGATGAACCCTGAAAACTTCCTGCTGAGTGAAGGAAGCCAGACACAAAAGACCACACCGTGTCTGATTCCATGTATAGAACGGTCCAGACCAGGCGAATCCTGGAGACAGAAAGCAGATACATGGTTGCCAGAGGCTGGGGGCACGTGGCAGGGGGCCAGGGCGGGCGGGGGGACGGCGTGTGTTGGGCAGCGATGGCTAGGGGTGCAGAGTTTCTTTTGTGGATGATGAAAATGTCTAAAATTGATTGAGTTGATGGTTGCACAACTCTGTGAATACACTAAAAATCACTGAATGAGTCACTTAAAAAGGATGAATTTTGTGGTATATGAATTAAATTTCAACAGAAAAACGCTGACATCCAAGATCTCAAACTCTCCCTCGACCCTGGCACTCCTGTCTCCATGCTTCCAGTCAACAGTCTCCAGAGCGGCCCAGCAAGTAAAATGAATACGCCCACCAGGAACAGAGGCAGTGTGCTGCGCATACCTTCTCCCCACCACTTCGCCTCCCCCAGCTCCTGGGGCCTCCTGTAAGAGTTCTGAAGCCTTTTCTCAGAGAGGGAGTGGGGACAGGAGCTGGACTGCTGAGGACTGAGGAACAACTGTGCCTGTTAGAAGAAACACGCACTCTAATGAGAGGCATCTCAGCCTGGTTAATCCTCCTCCCCACAGTCCCACCGTGCACACTCACCACCAGGGACCTTTCTATGGATACGGTCCTGCCACCAAAGTGCCTACAAAGGATGGACCCAGCCCAGTTTTCGACATCCAGGAAGACGGCCAACACTAACAGGGCTTGTCCTATAGCGAATACTTGAGCAGAAACCGTTGACCTGTCCTCGGCCCTGTAACTGCTACTCTCCGTGGCCTGGGCACCTGACATGCGGTGTTCCTGCTGCAGCAAGGGGGACAGCACAGAGACGCACAGGGGTGAGGGGCAGGGTCTGGTTCTGAGGGGAGGCTTTGCTGCTTAAAAGGAAACGAGAGGAGGGCCCTTTAAAAGTCTCTGAGGGACATCAGACTGGGTTATTCAAAGACCCCACAATCAGATGAGGCTACAAAGCCACAGGCAGACTTAGCTTCCAAGTTTGTCCCCTGTGTGCCGCTCCCAGCTGCCCACCTGGCTGGGTCTGTAACACCATCATAGGCTGAAGACCTCCACAGGGCAAACAAGGCAAATAACGTAGTGAATAATGTATCACAAAACCCCGAGAAAGGAACTGAGAGCAAAAGTCAGCTCTGTGTCAACATGCCAACCACATTCTGTGGACCAATCACTATCGTTTATTCTCAGAGTCCTAACCTTATTTATAGAAAAGTTATACAACAAAACACTAACTTCTTGGTACTTTTTTAGAGAAAACTTACCAACAGACATGAGCTCAGCAGACTTTAATTTACCTATCAGGAGTCCCCGTACCAGTGGTTTGAAACCACTGCTTTAACACTGTGGAAAGGTTTTCAAATGAAACCCATATGGACTGCGAACGCCTGCAGCGCAGCTTGCCGAGGACGGGAAGCTCTCCCACCGGGCCTACGGGCCCTCTCCCCACCAGGATCTGGGGTGAGCCTGGAATCCACTGTCTGGAAGCGACTGCTGGCTGAGCTGTGAGGATGTCTCAAAACCTCAGAGAAGCAGCCTTAAACCCACAGCGGAGGTTCTGAATCCAGTGGCCTTCAAGACCTCAGGCACTAAAGGCTGTTCAGTGGTAGATCTGGCCCATCTTTATTCTCAGGGAAGCTGCTCCAGAGCCCACCTGTCAGTTCTCCGGCTGTGCACGGCACCTGACCTCTACTGAGCAACTGCCTCCTCCAGTCACAGCCCACACTGATGGGACCCGGAATCAGTGAGTTCTTCCTCGCTGCCTCACAGACTGGTTGAACTTTGACTTTTACCAGCTAGAATGGGACGTATGCTTCAGACTTTGGCTGTCACATAAAAATAAGAGAATTACCAAGCTAGAAAAAACTTAGAGATAATAGCCAACCTTCAGCCCAAAGAAGTTAAATTAGCTGCTTATGGTCGAAAGACAACTGAAAAGATTAGCAAAGTGGTGAAATGTGGATCCCAGATCTCTCAGCTTTCAGTCCATTCTTTAGAGAAACAAAGTATTTAAACTAGGAGAGATTTCAGAATTATTTAGTACAATCTCTTCCTTTGAATCAAGAGCCCAATGGGAATATTTTCCATTAATATACTGTGATATCACTTCTACCTCAGCGATGTTTATTCTCCAGTGAAGGCATGAAAAATGCCACAAACCTGTATCCAGGAATTAATAAAAACCTGAGATTACAGGGGCAAGAGGCCCTTCACCACATGGTCTATGGTGCCACACTGGACCAGACACAATGGAAAAATCCACCAGGAGAGCGAGTACTCACGGGGTCGGTGAGCATGGTCCTCAGGTGAGACGACAGGGCAAGCACCGCTAAGCAGTTAAAAATGACTCCGTTGACCACAGAGTACCAGAAGTCTTTGGAAGGGAGCAGCATGACAAAGGTCACCACAAAGTCTGCATAGACGACCAGAAGCCACGTCATGACGGCACAGATCATCCCGCAGCCATCACGAATGAACCAGACCCTGTCTGCCACGTCAGCCTCGGAGGAAGAGGAGGACGAAGAGTCGTAATTGTCATTTTCATTCAGGAGAGGATGGTGTTCAACATCCCGGAGCCGGTGTCCTGATGACGGCATGATGTCCCTGACACACCCTAGAGGAGATTGGACAGAGCTGATGAGGCTCACGGGGACACACTGTTGCCTACAGCCAGCCACAGCCACAGCCACGTGTGAACAAATAATGAAGAGAACCAGCTAGATGCAAGATCACAGCACCCAAGCTCCCGTGGTGGAGACGAAGCTTGTGCACCGTGGCTGCTCTCCGTGCCAGCAGCCCCATCTGTCCATGCAGAGGCCCAAGGTCCACCCACAGCTCTCCAGAGCAAACGCTCCACTCAGACGTGACAATCGGCAAGAGGAAGAGTGAGAGGAAATGCCAACCTCTCTCCTCACTTTTATTTTGGCCCACTAAACACCGAGCTCATGGTTCTTGCCCAGCTTTTCTCAATTTGATTCTCAGTTTCCTCTCATTTCTCCCTCCTTTTAACTCTGACAACACGGTCATGCTTTTGAGGCAGGCTCCCGTCGCTATCTCTGTTTTCTTCAACTCTACACTGTTGCTAGAATGCCCTTCCTCTCTATTTTGTTCTTTTAAAAGTTCCCTTCAGTTATTAACCCATTCTTTTGACACCTTTCCCATATTTCCTGAAGTACCTGATCCCTGAGAACATACAGTGTCCAAAGAAACCAAAGAGAAGCTGTTCTGCTGGTTCTTTAAATGCAGGGCCTTCTCTTACGAGTGTGTGATGTCAGACGGTAACACTCGGGACACAGTCAGCATCCATCTGGCCTCAGCGTCCACACAGGGGATAGAAAACCACTGAAAGCATTTTCTCAAACGACCCAACTGCCTTCTCAGCACAGGCGCCCTGAGGGTCTTTCAAACAAGCACAGAGCAAGAGACTGGCCTCCCCAATGTGAAGAGGCTGGAGTGACGGAACACTCTTGGAGTCAGGTCTGCAACAACTGATTAAGAGCACAGTCTTTCGAATCTGGGTGTTGTTTTTTTTTCTCTTCAATGCAACTGGAGCATAGTAGTTATGAAAAGAGTGAATGAACGAATGAACTGGCTGATGAGAGTTCATTCTGCAAATATTTGCAAAATTCTCTCTCAATATAAAAATATTGACTGGTATAAGCTAGAAATGAAATTGTTCCCCACACTCAGTAAAATAATTAGACAAGCCAAAAACAGCTTTAAAATGTTTTAAGGGAAAGAGAAGAAACTGAAGATAAGAATTTGGGCAGACCTCAACCAGCCATTCTTTCAGCTGGCACTTACTGACCCTACATCATCCAGACTTGTCTGCCCACCTTCCCCTGCAAATGGCTCTGCTGAGTCCACCCCTCTACAGAACCCCACTCACCCTCTAGGGCCTAACGTTTCTCTCTTCCCAGCAGGTCATACTGAAAAGGTATTTCTCCTTCCTCTGAAGAGCACTTTAAAGGGGTCTCTGAACCGCAGATATGACGCTCTGGAGAGGATGGCAGAGACTGGTTCTCCCTACAGGACTGGAAAGTCTGATTCTGTCAGGGGGCCGGGAGAGTATCTGGAAGTTTCTCTGCCTCCCTTGAACTATCAGGGCACGCTCATCAGTCTATGTGCAGTATACTCACCACCGTCGACCTTACAGCTCCTGTGTCTTCCCTCCCTGACTGATCGTCAGCCCCTCAGAGGAAGGGTCTGGTCTTCTCTCGCTGGGCTCCCTTTTGGGGCCTGCACACGGCTGGGCCCACAGCAAATGCACGTTTGTTTACAGACAGACACAACAAGAAGATGGCACCTCTTTCTAATTCAAGTAGTTCCCTAGTGGATCATAACTGTACAGCAAGGCCTGAAGCTGAACACTTCCTCCGACCAGAATTCCTCTGCTTTATGGTTACTCCTCAAGTAGGACACTTTCTATGAGAAATGGGTGCTTGCTTGCTGGGCAGTCAGACAACACGCTACACGGCCACATGTCCAGAGACAGACGAGCCTTTTGTCAGAGCACAACGTTTGTGCAGTCTGAGTTCCATCTAGAAAGCAGGACCCTGTGAGTCTTCTAAAGGCACACCTGCGGGACACCTTCCCGGCTGAGGAGCTGTGAGAACCAGCACAGAGAGCAGATGCAGCCCTGGGTGGGGCGCCTCTACCTGCCTGGGTGGGTGGGTGTGGCAGGACCCTCCGAGAAGTGCATGTTCCGCTGATGCTTGTGTGCTTTAGACGCCAATTTGTAAAACCCACTCAAAGGCAAAGGGAAAACAGCCTGACATCCAGAAGTCACTTTATTTTCAAGAAAGCAATCAATGAGCACAGCAAGGCTAGGCTGGACACAATCAGTTATCTGTAATCAACTGCGCAAGCAGTCCGCTGAGTCACTCAGTGTATTTACACTTCATTAGAGTAACAGGAAGGGAGGGGAGGAAATGAAGAAACAATTCCTTTACATTGAACCAATCAAAAAATACTGGGAACACCACACGGCGACCTGCAATGCACTAAGAAAATGTACACACTCACTAGGGCAGGGGTGCAGCCCTCTCCTACACGAATACCCAAACTGCTACCCATTTAACGCTCTCGTGGAGCACTTCTGCGAGAACCCGAAAGCTCTCCGCGTGGACCGACGGTCAAGCAGAGGTCCCATCACCATTTTCCTACTTTAATGGCCAATTAATGGGATTTTGTCTACACTCCCAAACCTAAGCTATTTCTCCTCACGTTAAATAAAGCTGCGTGTCCCAGAACACTACGGCAACACCGCACACCTCCAGTATTTAAGGGGAAAACCACACAAGTAAAACTACCCATGAATTTACACTCGTGCATTCACCTCATCTTGTACAACTCGCTAATAACCACCAATTCGCTCCACAGAATCCTCCTCCAGAGACACTCTCTCCTCTGAGGACAGGTGGTGTGAGCAAACTGAGGACAACGGTGACAAGGAAGATTCCTCAGTGCCACTGACCTCTTGCAAGGCCCGTGTTGCCTCTTCAGTAACACACCAGTTAGTGTCAGCCATCTGAAGGAAACCGGGATTACACACCCCAATAAAGAGCCACACTCACCTCACAAATGGTTTCTAAACGTTACTTGAACATTTTGCGCCTTTTCTTCAGGACCTTAAGGTGCATACTGTCTATGTGATAGGATCTGAAAGACAATAAAATCTGATTAGAAAAGTTACTTATTTTATGACAGAAAAGTGTGTAATATTTCTTAGGGTATGATTTATTTTTGGAGCATAACCAACATAACATTTCATACATAAAATTCTGTTATTGAGAACTAGCTACTCCTCTAAGTTTTCCTTACTAGTAAATTGACTGACAATAATGAAAATTAAGTAATTTACTTTAAATCTGTCCATTTTATCCTCCTACTATTTTAGCCACAATGTAAAACCAAATCTATAAGCCAAAATCCCTCAAGAAAGATCCCCAGGGATAATCCAGACCAAATCTGGCCAGGCTGCATTTCAATAGTCAACAACTGTTTACTAGCAAAGGAATTACAGAAGAGACAGGAGAGTGAAAACAAGAGGTGAGAGGAGCTGGGTGGAGAACACCAGGCCCCCAGGGCACAGGAAGGAACGTGGTAGAACTCGTGAGGGCCACCTACTGAATGAAGAAACTCCCAATCAGCATCTCCCATTAGGCTCATCAGCAGGTGGGCAAGTAGACACAGCCTCTCTAGAAGCACTCACCTGGCCCAAGAGATAAGGCCTAAAGGTACCAAGATGTGGGGGAACCCCAACAAAGAGGTCAGAGTCACTGCCAGGTTTCCCTGAGATGAGAGCCACCAGAAGACATCCTACCAGAGACACAGCGGCTCCAAGTGCTTGGCCATCTCATTCTTAAATATGAACAAACAGCAACAGATGTTTGAAGAAAGCCCAAAACAGGTCTCATGCAAGAGAGCCCCAAAGGGAAACAGGGGAAAAGGAATTCAGAGCAGGCACAATGCACAGAGAAGGAAATTTAAGAAAAAATAAGAGATTGTATCGGTGAAACAAAAAGAGGAGCATTCTGAGAACTTCCCAGTTATTGAAAAATAAAAATATGATGGCAGAGTTTTAAAATCTTAAAATAGAATTGGACAAGAGAGTGGGGAAATCTCCCAGAAAGGAGAACTAAACAACAAAGAGAAAGAGCTTAGGAGGGAAAATAATATAAGACTAAAGGACCAATCCAGGAGGTCCATCTTCCAAACACCAGGAGGTCTGGCAAAGCCGGCCCAGCCCTGGCTTCCCTTCTGGCTGCCTAGCTCCATACCCCTCACAGCCTGTCCATTCTGTTTTCATCCGGACATCCTTCCGATATATTATTTCTCTGCTTGAGCAAACCCTTAGCTGGTGTCTGTTTTCTGAAACCAAGAGCCCTGACGAGGACACCAGTAGGCTGGCGTGGACGAAGGCGAAGGGACAGGGGTCTGGAGGATCAAGAGGTGGGCAGGGTAAGTTCCCCTGTTCTCCACCACCACAGAAGCTGCTGTTCCTCCCAGGAACCCGGAGGCTGCTCACTCTTTCCTGTCTCCAGTTTGCCTCGCCTCCCCCAGGGCCAGGCTCTGCTGTCAGTCTCCCCTGCCCACTGCATCTCCTCAGGACTCTGTTCTCCCTCTGCGCTTACCTGGACAACCTCCCGCCCCGCCGTCAACACCACCCTGCATGCCAATGGTTCCCCAACATGCTTCCAGCTCTGAGTCCCTTCTGAACAACAAATGTGGCCGTGAATCCCAAGCTGCTTAAACTAATGGAGGTGACTTTTAAAATACGGTATTTATATATATTAACTTTATTCAAATATCCACGCAATAGCCAACAACTTTAAATGCCAAATAACATTTTGAACTAACAATGCCTAATTATGCCTAAGAATATTTTCAACTTTTCATTTGCATTCATTTTGAGTATTTTCAAATGAGCTTATGTTAGCAATGTTTTAAGATAAAACTGGCTTTGCAAAATACAGGACTGCCAATCACAGACATCAGGTCTACAGCAGAATCTCTACAATGAGACCAAATCCCCAATTACTTTTATAAACTTTAAAAAGTAACCAACATGGCAACCACTTCGGAAAGTGGTCTG